AAAAATTTTTATTCTATATTTTCGACTTCTTTTTTCGCGTAGAATCACCCCCTTTCTGCTCGTACCACCAGTTACCAACCACCCTGTATACATATATCGTGAATCATAGACCTTTTTTGCATGATAACATATCTATGATAGATTATAGTATTTTGTCTTTTTTTCGATGAGACATTACTAAAAAACGAATATTAACATTCGTATTTCTTTCGTCTTCCTTCATTTTAAGTATACTTGGTATTTTCTCGATAAGAACGATAAGAATGATTTACCTTATACCTTCACTGAAAATTAGTAGCCTGCGTCAGAAATCAAACAGAACTGACTTTCCACAAGGAACGATTATGCTTTATTCGATATTTTTCCTCAAGTCGACGAGAAATGCAATACTTTTCATGACGAGGTAATACTTAACAGACTCGTACATAACACGAAGAGAAGTTCACGGAATTCTCTTCACACCAACGTATTTCAAATTCGCGTTGACAATCAACGTGTTATCGGGTTAAACAAATGGATTCTGTTCGTACAAGGATTTAGATTCCGTAAAACTAGAGCGATCCTTTCGTCGCATTCTATCCAGCCGCAGAGAATTGAGAAAGAACATGAATATTTACGATTGTTGCAGAAGATGGATGGGAACAAAGATGGAGTGGTGACGCTGTCGGAATTCTTAGAAGCGTGTCGCGCCGATCCCGATATTTCAACGAGTATGGCTGCTTTGGACACGGCCTTCTGACACTCGGCGCGACCACGATACATGCCATGGACCTAAAGAGTTTCTGTTGATTTAGGAATATATCGCTCAACGTTGTACCTTATCTCCTGGACCAGGGGAATTTCCTCAAGGTTATTACGAGGATTTCGACCGAGAGATAGACTCGCCGAATCTCGAATTTCCGATGTCGAAACGCCTCGAAGGAAAACGAATGATGTATGATCCGGTTGGAACAAAAGCGTCTATTATTAAGTGAAATTCGTAGCGTTTATCAGGTGAAATTCAAAGACGATGTTTGGATGTATCGAATTCTTTTCTACGTAGATTTATTCAATAACGTATACAGAGTGGGGCAAAATTCAGATTGGTACAAACAAGATCAGAGAGGATAGTATACGGTTGAAAATGAAGCGAAAATCAGGAATAACAAAATTACGTTAGAGGCTTCGTTTTCGAGGAAAATACATTTGAAAATCAATCTAGTACACGTACAATCGATTGATGACTGGCGTTATACATAGATTTTGCTACAGACAGCTACCTACTGTCAATATTCTTGTACACGATACACTGTGTGACTGTCAATTCCTATCGGGCAAAAGACATGGCGATGATCGTATATAATTTTTGCGTTGGAAGCTTATGGTGGAAACATATTTGCTGCATCCTGTATACCATGCGACGTGTCGCGTCACGTATTTTCAATTAGCGTTACGATTTGGTCATTGTCGAGCATATAATACCGTAGATCTGTCGGAACGTCGATCAGATTTTCCGCTTCTGAACCGATATTCGAAACGATATTCTCAGCTACAGCAGCGTCTCTATAAACGATACATATCTTTTTTACTGTTTGTACGACGTTTCTTCCCATTTATATTAGCAGAGCGTCGAATGACGAAAATGCACCTTACTTTCCTTCGTCTTTACTTTTAACGTAAACACGCTCAAATTTGCAGAGAAAGACGCGTTAACCAGTTGACAGCGGAATTTAGTTTTAAAAGTTTCATACAGACAATGACGATACACCTCGAACGCAGGGCAAAAGCTTATAAAAATTTTACTAAAAAGGTAGAACGAAACGGGGGAGAATTACATTTTTATTCGATAAAAGATTCACAATTCATCGTTGGTTGAAAAGGATATTATTATCAAAAAATTGTAAATTGTCAAAAAACAAAATAACTCGGGGAATAGCCGATATACACAGTGAAGTACAAAGATGGGGATACATCGGAGAAAATAATCAACAGAATTTATAAAGAGCAATACATTATATAACACGGAGAATAATCAAATAATCAAACTGTTTTTTTATAAAATACACAACAGTTTTACTAAAGGTATAAAGGAAACGTACCGCTAAATGTCATTTATGTTACTTTTTACTAAGATTTTGAATTTTTACAGTAAATGGTAATTTTTTAGTTTACATGACGAGTATACGCGTCAACCGCAGAGAAATAAAGTTTTGGATTGACGTGTATAAAGGCTGAACGCAGTTGGCTGGTTAAAATGTCAGAATGCGGCGAAACGTTAGAGAACGTGTAACACGTGCTTCATTTTGAAATGGTGACATTTCACGCGTTCATCACGTCGCTGTGGAAAAACGCTACGAACTTTTGTTCCAACCTACACACTTTTTTTTTCTGTAACATGGTCGCGTTAAAGAACCCTTTCAAACCGAAGATCACGAAATGGTCCTAAGAATAGAAGAGATTGTACTTTCGATATTCGTAGTTCTAGTTGTCCAGTGTGCGTTTCGCTAGGTAAGGAAGGATTAGATGAGAGATGAATAAGAAAAGCGTTAAACGAAAAAAAAAAACAAAAAACAGATAATATACCATATGATCGTTAGTAGTTATGATCGGAACTTGTTGCGAACTGTGTCCGACAGTTCACTTTTTAAAGAACGCGCGCTACAAACGATGAACAAATATGCAAATTTAGAGAAAGCAAAAATAATAAAATGAGGAAAGAAGCAACTGTGCCATTGAGACTTGACGTAAATTGTACGTGGCATTCGGCATTATTCGTGCCAAAAAATACATATATTATAGTTCTATAGGAAAGGTATAAAAAAAAAAAAAGGAAGAAACACAGACATTTGTGTGGAAATAATTGAGCTTAACTTATATTTGTTTTACCTTCATGTTCTTTACTTGAACAACAAATGTATTTTGACGAAGAAGAAATGGAAGAAAGAGAGACATGTTCACTTTAGCTGATATTTTATATTGAAAAACACGCATGCACGGTAACATATGGATTCTTAACGACTTACGATAACGACGTAGTCTAGTTTTCTACGACGACCATATTTTTTTACGAGGCTATTGCTCGTTACGTCGAGGCATAGCTTTTACATTTACATTTTATGTATTAGACTATCCGTTCCCGTAGAGATTCACGCTGTTTTTAAATGCAAACGAGGCGTTTCTTTTTATTCGCGTGTTATCATTGCCGAGAATACCACAAAAACTATCCCTCGTTTCGTTTCATTTTTGATACCACCATTGTTTCTTGTGAGAGCGAGCATTCCTAATTCCCCAGAGCCGCGAGAAATCTCAAACTTAATTCGTATTAGATATAAAACGATCGTAGATTTTATTCGTCGATTTCGACGAGATTGCGAATTGCCGGTAGATTTTTTTAGTTTGCAAGACGAGACAATGTAGCGAGCGGAGATAGGTCACGTATTCGTCGCAAGGTGTTCTTCCCAGCGTGGCAAATAAAAACGGGTAGCAGTAAACGTTGAGTACGATTTTTAACGATAATAAGACACACGAATCGACACGTTGAACCTGTTCGGTACGAGCGTCGATAAAGTCAATCGCGATAATAATTGCTACGCCTGTACGCGGTCATCGGATGATACACGGCGGACGAGGGCCGTACCGAAAAGGTTGATCGAAACGCGCGACAGAATTTAGTAAAGGAAAACCGGTCGGCGAGAGTACACGAAGAGAACAAAGAGAGAAAAAAAAGAGAAATAATTAGCATGAGACACGTAGAAAGTATAACAAAAAAGAGATATCGTAAAAAGCCGCTAAAACAGCTGGCCATGTTAAGCGGGACTCGTTGTTTCTAGTACGTAAGCAAGTAGATTAAGCGATATAATAAAAGTATTTATTTTTGTGACAGGTAAATGAATTATTAATCGTGGTAAGAATTTAGCTCGTAAAGACTGCGTGCTGCTAAAGAGAGAGAACGAAACAGAAAGATGGATGGTCAGGGAAGAGAACAAGATCGAGAAAGAAATAGAGAAAAAAATGGTGAACACGAGAAGGACAGAGGAAAAAGAAAGAAACGCGGGAACAGTCTATTGATTTCCCATTCAAAAGATCTTCGATCAGTAACCTACGATACCGAATTTTATTGTAATTATTAAATGCGATGACTAGACCAAAGCGTCCGCAACGGGCAATGACGATTGCCGAGCGAAATATATTTAATCATTTTCCATCACTGCCTACTTCTGATTAACTTGTAAATAAGGTCGGTAAACTTGAACGAACGGAATAAAACTCGCGATGCATCGAAAACTTCGGATCTACTATAAAGTTCAACGCGTCTTGAGAAAAAAGGAACAAGACATAAGCGAAACAGCAACGGAACAGTCCGAAGAACCGCTAGTCAAACTTTCTTTTCTATAGTACATTTGTGATAAAATGTCACGCGAATCGTGAAACAACCATATGCTTCTTTTGACATCGAATTCGCGTTATAATTCTCTGTTACTTAATTTTCCTAACAGCGATACGAAAACAAAAAATTGCACGATGCATCGATAAGAAGCGTGGCTATAAGTAAGAGGAAGGGAAAATCGTGAACGAATATTTTACGGAAACGGGAATTTAATGGAAAGGACATGGAAATAGATCTAGCGCAGATCTAGTGCAGATTTTTAGCAGCGCCTACACTTAGACGATAAGACTTACGTATAAAAAGTGAGGCAAGCATTTCAAGGCGTTGCCTCGTATCAACTCGATCACTACCGCATGTCTTTGAAGTTACTGAAGTAAGTATAGAAAAGACAAATGAAACGGCGTAATTATGTTATCTAGATATTTTCAACCCCAACCAAACGTAGAAACTAGATGTCAGAGATGAAGCGTGAAATGTCTCACGCCCACGTCACGTTGATTGAGAATACGATAGGTCTAATAGGTTGTTAGGTTTCCTATTTCCCACTGATTCGAGTATCGAAGTAACTTTATTATTTTTTTAAGACGAAATTCAGCTAGTCGTACAAACCCAGAAAGAAAAAATTATATAAAGTGGCACACGAATTGAAAGCGTAATGATGCTATTTCAAAAACACACTATCCTTTCGAAAGCACAATTTCATTGTACCATGTTAACTCTATCCTATACTTAGTCAACTCGCGTGCATGTTTTCGTACACGTATACATATTAAATACGCAATTAAAAACACGATCGTATTCACATACACACAAAGCGCGTACACGCGCGAACCATACATCATCACTAACAGTAAATTGTCTTGTCTTACTTATAGTGTGTCTAGAGCATTGCGTCTGTAAGATCTTGTATCTATGATTAGAAAAACTTGACCGATAAACAGCAACTACTGTACCGTTATCGGTCGTTAGCCAAAATTATTATATACGTATTTGACGTGTCTTTTAGAACGCCTTGAAAGCGAGGTAACAGCATGTAAGAAAAGATCAGAGAAATACTCTCAAATAACGGAAAAGAAACTCACAGCAAGATGAAAATTGAATTGGCGATCTCACCGACGACAGGCGCTACAGTGTTACTTAAAAATTTGCATCGTATTAGGTCGTTCGATAAGTTTCTTTCGTTTTATAAGGAAATAATGGATTTTATTTTGTCGAATTACGTATGATCCATTTTGTTCTATCAAAGTAAAGATCACAACGTTCGACAGATTAGGTTTGTATAAAGATACATGGTTGTAAAAGACGTGTCTGTAAAAGAAAGACACTTTTCGGACAACCTAATACGTGTTACATATGCTACGAAGGATATTGGAAAGGATATTCCTTTTTCAAACGATCTCGCAGAGTATTTTTCTGGTATTTTTCCTAAGGACCAGAATTCATATTTTTTAGAACGCGATCAAGGAAAAGTATGGAAGACGTTTTTCTTAAGTTCATCGATGTAGACAATAAAAACAGGCTCGAAACGTTGCATCGGAATCGTTTCTACGTGCATGCATCACTCGAGCGTTCGTGATTTTCATTCTATATAATTTCAAGCAAATAGATGATCATTATAATGCAAATAGCACCAACTTTCCAATAAATACTAAAGAGCCATTTAACCGTCTGTAGCGTCGCGATCTTGCTTTCGTCGCATTCGTGTAAATGGTTTGCAAGATTCTTGCTACTGCGTTACCACACACCTTACACGAATATTTTCAACCGGTTTAAACATCTCTCTTCATTTTAAATGTACGTACGTATGTTATTTGGAATTCTTGTGAATTTCGAGTATCTATCTCTCGTATGATATTTTAGTGTTACATTTCATACACGAAAGGGAATAAAATATCCAAAAGAAAGTGTCGTACTAAAGTTCACGGATATTGGTCACTGAAAGCCATTAAGGGAAAATATCTACCGTGCCATTTCCACGTCGGTTATCCTTTTCTCAACTATATTATTCCGTCTGGCTATCTCAAAGGCCAAGTCGAGATGTGTTCCGTTCACTTCTTAATGCATCGCTCCAGGAGCAAGCACTCGAGCATGCGTCAGATGTACGATTTTCTCTCGATCGTTGCTCAAAAAATGGTTCCAGCCAAATAGTATCCATGAACTCTTCTGTCGTATTATAACTGGAAACGATGTTTAAAATAGGTATAATTGTGAATTTTGTATTAAAACGGTTAATAATAGACGAGTAATGATCGCTCGAAAGTACTCTTCACGACGTAACGTAATAGCAAGCAATCTTGCGTTCTAGATATAAAAGATTCATACGTTAAAATTAGGAGGATATGTAATGGAACGCAAAATTTAATATAAAATCGATTACCTAATTTTTCATCGCGGTACTTTTAGCGAGAAAAATATAACGATAATTGATATCCACGTACAATGAAAACTTGTTCAATTGGCTCTATTTTAAACGACGAAAGGATTCGTGAGGGATACAAAATATTATGTAATATCTCGTCTATCGTAACGTAGGCACATACTATTCGAATAGGATTCAATGATCTATCTTCTCTATACGAAATCTATCTCCTTCTCGATAGCTACTCGCATCTTTATCGAGAATATTTTCGGTGGTATCTACTAGAAGTAGTATTATAACTGCTGGACAGAGAAATCGAAAGGGAATTGATTCGTGTAAAGGGCTCGGTGTCCCATAAAAGGAAATCAACTAAAGCGACGAGAGGTGTTTAAAGTTTAAAGGGTCATTGAGCCGATCACGGCCAATATGAGTACTCACAGAAAGCTACTAAATAAAACAGTGGAAGATTATGGTCGGGCTGTGCTTGTACTGGCTGACAGATGGTCCAAACGTATAGATTATGTATTCATTAAGAAAAGAATATTAATCGAGGACATAAAAATATAACTGACTGTGTTACACGGCGCACGAAAAAACCATGTACCAGAAGAATTACGCGTTTACATAAGAAAGTTTAGATAAGAATTGGAGATACCTTACTCTTATAAATCTTGTCCAATCTTTAGAAAACATAAGGTTGATTTCAATGTATTTTAACTTTCAATCTCCTCGAGCGAAATGGAGAAACCGTTTGCGCGCTGTACGATATTTCGCTATTCCTTGGAGATTTCTAATTCGTATAGATTTGAATGCATCCGAGACTAAACGTTAATATCAAAATTCCCTACTGCTCAACTCAGTGAATGTTAAAAAAGTGAATGGAAATGACACTCTCGGTTATTTATTATGCAACTTAACAATTTAACTCAACCATCCTAACTTCGACTAATATTAGCAATGACAACCGATATACATTTTCCGAGAGGCAAAATGTTGTTCACGAAAACGTGATGATTACTCGAATCACGAATATTAGAGGGAAGAAATTGGGTAACATCGCGTGCACGCAAGGAAAATTAAATAATCATACG